TCATACAAACCATTTAATACTCATTAAAATTTCCCATTAAAATTTCCCAGATATTCTATTTTTTGTTACGGTGTTTAATACCCTTTTAACTCCCTTTCTCTTCTATTTCCCTCCTTTTAATTATCCATCCCTCCTGGAGATGTCTCCTAATATCATTAAATAAAATAAAAGGAAAACTACTCATTTCTTCAAATGTAAAATCTCTTTCTATCAAAATATCTCTTACTAGCCAAACTTAATGGTAATTATGTTTGTTTTTAGAGAAGAAATTCTGATAAATTAAATCTGCTTAATCCTTTCTTTTTATTTTTGTTTGTTACCTTTTTCAATTAGGTTAGCAATTATTTTGGCAAATTTAATTGATTATATTTTGTTTCTGTTATTGATTATGACATCTTTCTAACGAGTAAATTGCTTAATGAAACTAAATAATTGGATAAAAGAAAAGGATATATAACTTACCCACAAATCTCAAATCTCTCTCCCTCCCATTTAAATCTTGATATCTCTCCAAACCTATCTCCTTTAAATTTTATGTGAGGCATTTTTCATTTTTGTTTCATTTGGCAGGTGTGTTGAGGAGAGATTAGTGGGGGAGTGACTACGGTTAGGGGAGAGAGAAATAAAAAATAATTGTTTTTATTTAGTTATTTATTAATTAATTTTTTTTTTTTTACATAATAATAATTTTTATTTATAATAATTTTTTTATTGGTTTATTGTTTATTTATTTTTGGGCTGTTACAACTCTTCTCAACTTCAATACTACCTTCCACCAGCAAACAAAGGGTCAAACTGAGTGTTTAAATTAGATTCTAGAGGACATTATACTTGCTTGTGTACTAGATTTTAAGGGAAGCTGGGATTCCAAATTACACGGAATTTTCAGACAATAACAACTTCCAAGCAACCATTGGGATGACACTGTTTGAGGCCTTATATGAAAAACGGTGTAGATCCCTATTATGCTGGGATGGAGTAGGCGATAGAGAACTGATGGGACTCGAGTTGGTTCGAGTCTCCAATAAGGTTGTTCAGCAAATTAGAGCGAGGATGCATACCCCTCAAAATAGACAAGAAAAAGCGATGCAAATGTAAAGCATAGGAGCTTAGAGTTTGGAGTGGGGACCTAGTATTCCTGAAAATGGTACCAATGAAGGGTGTTTTGAGGTTCGAGTGTAAAGGCAAACTGAGCCCTATATTCATTGCACCCTTCAAAACTCTCGAGCGAATTGGTCTCATGGCATATAAACTAACCCTACTGCCCTTCCTCTCAAGGGTACACAATATATTTCACATATCAATGCGGAGGTAATGGCATGACAGACCCTATCCATGTAAAAGAATACGAGCCCCTTAAGCTTAATGAAGATTTAAGCTATGAAGAAAAGCCCATAAGAATCCTAGCCTTATGAAGTAAAAGCCTTACGCAACCGGGATGTTACCTTCATCAAGGTGCTATGGCGAAACCATCATATAGATGAAGCCACGTGTGAGTGAGAGGATGAGATAAGAGAGAAAGGGATCAAGAGAGAGAGGTTTGACGAAGTATTCCGGCAAAGTCCAAACCCGCGAAACGAAGCCTAAAACGGAAGAACCACGACACGAAAGAGATCGTTGACATCTGTACACACATCTAAGGTACGTTTCAACAGAGAGGTAGAGGAGGAAAAAGACGAAAGAAGACGGAAACGGATGTGGAGAGGAGAGAGAAAGGAAATAAAAAACCACGCTGGAAATCGGGTGAAGAAAACGAATCCACCGGGTCAGACCCGAACTGGTTAATTCGACCCGCAACCGCATTCGTAACGTGACGGCCCAACACAAATGTCTGCAGCCCATCTCAATAGCCCAACACCCACGTGTCCGTGTAACCTAATCCAACCTGCAATGCCTGCAGCCCGAAACCTAACAGTCCACGTTGAAGCCCAACTACTCGAAGCCCACCTGCAGCAGCCCAGCACCGCGTTGCGAACCGACTCAGCCTGCACACGCGTCAACATCCTATTGCACCACATGTCAACTTGCAGCAAAAAGAACCCCTCGGTTACATGGCTCGACTTGGCTCCGTGTATTCCTTGGGCTCAAAAACAACTTAAACGGCTTAGTTTGACAATTCTGATACCAATCCCTATGTTCTTTTTACCATCTTGGAGCAGATTTTGACCCTAACTAAGGAGAGTATATGCTCTATTTCATAAATTCAAGTTGAATTTAAATTAGAATCGTGAAATACTGACGAGAGGAACTAGACAATCTAATAGGAAACGAATTTCGACGACATTTAGAGCAACTTTGAAGAGCGAAAACTTAGAAAAATCGAAAGTAGGGAAATGCCGGCTAAGGCCAATCAAGTAAGTGACCTTACTATAGGATAGGCTAGGTAATTGTTTGATGCATGACGACACATGCCTAGCGGCACCAACACGTGTCCTTTATGATGTATGATGATGTGTATGAGTTATATGATGACATTTTACGATGATTATGATGACGTTGTATGACAATGCATGTTAAAACGATGACGTACATGATGTTACTTCCTTGATATGATGTTGTTTTCCATATTAAGACGAGAAGCATGTTATGAATGAAATACTATATTAAGAAGATGACTTTCACAAGACACAACCCTAGTTAGTATTAATAATAATGAAAGAATGAAGACTACATCTATATTACTGATAGTAATATAAAAATGGAATTAGGGTTGTGTTATGAAGATGTTTTAAAGACAAAAAAATCATAGGGACCTCGTGCTTTTCTGTATGTACATAAGCATCGGGATACTTCCCCTTTTACAATGATGAGTACGAACGCGTATGCTACGATGATGATGGTAATCATGTCGTGCATGTCACTCAGGGGTCTGCTGACCTTCGAACGTTGCTTCGAACAACTAGCTCGACTATGATGGGTCCAGGGGGGTGCGAACCGCCTAGGGATTCACACTTGCATGTGTGAGTCGTGTGTAGGGAAGTATTGCACATCCAATTTAGTTCGGACTAGAAGCTGCCTCTAGGGTGTTTTAATGATAGGTTCCTAAAATATTATTGCATGTGTTTGCAGTTTCATGTCCCTTATAGTGGGTCACTTACTTAGTATTTTTTGAAATACTCTGCCATGTGCTACATCATTTTCAAATAAAGGCAAAGCGCCCCTATACGGTTGACGACGACATCGCAATCAGAGACCATAACACATATATAGACTAATAACATATTTAATTTCTTAGACTTAAGCGACATCGCAATCAGAGACCATAACACATATATAGACTAATAACATATTTAATTTCTTAGACTTAAGTTAGAATAGATTATTATGCATTTGATGTTTTTAATTAATTATCATTATTTTTTTTTTTTTTGAATTATGCTTTGAACACATAAGACCATGACCATGTTTTCAATGAGACAGTTATTTTTTTTTTTTTTGAATTATGCTTTGAACACATAAGACCATGACCATGTTTTCAATGAGACAGTTATATTTATGTTGAAATTATAAAATTGAAGATAATGTTTAAATTATAAAATTGAAGATAATACACATAAGACCATGACCATGTTTTCAATGAGACAGTTATATTTATGTTGAAATTATAAAATTGAAGATAATGTTTAAATTATAAAATTGAAGATAATATTTTAAGAATTATATTTTGTAGAAGGACTGTGGCGACTTTAGGTAGCTAAAATCTAAAGTCATTACAATATCGGCAAATTTTAAAGAAATATTTAAAGTTTATATATTTAGATAGTTATAATTGACTTTTTAGATTTTTTAAAATCTTTTTTACATTTAAAATTTATATTCATCTATAAATTATACCTAATGTCAGGCTTGTTTGAAGTGTTACAATGAAGGACAATAGTAAAATGTGAAGATAAAAAAAATACTAATTTTAAGTTTGAGGAGGTAAAACAAGAGAAAGACGGGAGATTTATAAAAATTCATAGCTTTTTTTTTTCGGATTAAAATAAATTTACAATTGAGTTTTGAAATCTATGAAAAATAGTTCAATGGAGAAGAAGAAGAACGATAAGACGATATAGAATACACATGTAACAATCTACTTTTCAAGACTCGAGCCATAGACCTTGACACGAGACTTATAAAAAACTCGATAAAAGAAGGTTTTAAGAGGTTCAAGCCACACAAGACTTATAAAAAAAAACTCAATAAAACTTTTCTATTTAAAACATGAGACAGCGATTGGGAAAAATGGTCAAAGGATATACATACACGTAAATTAATTATAGTAGTAAATATTTATAAGATCAATACTCGGGAGGACAACATACAAAATAAACAAGAACTAGAACACACTAAGAGAAAATACAACAATACAAAAAGAAGACTCGGGTTGATATGATCCTTTATAGCAACACAACTCTAGAACGCTCCCGCTCTCAATCAGCTCCTCGGCTACCATATGAAAAATCCAAAGTAGCAAGAAAGAATATAAAAATATACTCACTAAACAACCTACATACATGCACTAAATTAAATCCAACATGAAGCTAAATACCACGTGTCTAGGTGCTAAGCTATTGGGGGTTAACCCTAAGTCCAGAGGCTTATCTAAGATCCTAGTGGATTTTGGGTGTTCTAAACCAGGAGTTCTTCGTGTTCTAGTTCTTCGTGTTCTAGTTCTATCGAAGTCTTGGATGGTCCGCCTAGACTGACACTGTTGGGACTTTATATTGGGATCCTAAGCTTCCTTAGAGCCCATCAAACTCCAAATGCATATATTGCAACGCTAAAGGTCATAAATGATCCAAATAGAGGAGTAACAAATCACACAATCAATAATGGTGCCCAACTTAAACAAAAAGTTGAGTACGGTGGAAATGAGACTCTCACCGTATATAATGGATTCAAACTAAGAGAGGATGCCTAAAGTTTATTTCAACAATTTTAGGGTTTTTCTTGTTCTTTTGTAAGTTTTGCCACAAAAGAAGCAACTTTACTGAAATAAAACGGTACTGAATTAGAAACACGGGTCAAAGTTTATATTCTTAGATGCAAACACTTGTTTATTGAATTCACCAAAATACAAACTTATCCTATGCGATGCCACATACGCTTACATTACGAGCGACAATTAAATAGGTAAAACCTAAAATTTTTGTTAAAGGGACAAAAGTAAAAGAAGTCCATTAATCTCATTACTAATGTTAAGTCCCATACGTATTCCTATAATTCATGTGCATGAAAGAGGGGAACGTAAAACTAAAGAACTCCTCTTCCTTCAAAGCCCAACATTGCAGATTGATGAATACGTAGATTCACCAAATAGATATCAATTTTGCTTCTTTCTACAAAATCCAATCACAATATGGAGCTTCTTGGTACCACAACCTAACATTTTCCTTTTGCAAAAGCTTCATCTTTTGGGTTTAAAAGGAAAATATCATTGGACACCAACATCTACTCACGACCCCAACTTTCTTTTGTTTGATTCTCAGATATTTTGAAACCTGAACTTTCATCCATGTTAACAGTTTTCTTATAACTTTCAAAGATAATGAAAATAAAAGGAACCCAAATAAGATTCTAAGATCAATATATGGATTGAAAGTAAAAGGAGAATGATAAAAAGTATTGCGTAAAATATGTAGATACCTGAACTTTCATCAAATTTCACTATTTTGATTAACTTTTTACGGTTTTGAACAAATGGGCAACAGATAAGACTTAGAAGATCGATACAAGGGTCGAAAGTTTGAAAGGGGAGGGATGAAAAATATAAAGTATATATATATAATAAATAAATAAACATATAGAGGAAGACTTAGGAGAAGGCAGATGATGAAGCAAGTAGCAGAAAATGTTCCAGATTCCATGGGGATGGTGGCGGAAAGAAATCAGTTGCTTGAAGTTACATAATCTGATGAGGCCTAAGAGGACAAAAACAAAATTTAAGGCTGCTTTTATGGTGTAAGCAGTAAGCTCTGTTTTTGGTGCCATGCAAAATGGCCTACCCATACCCTTCCTTCTACATATTAATCTTAATATCATTCTCCACCTTTTAAACGGTTAGCTTTTGCTTTTTTCAACGCTATAGATTTTTTTTTTTTAGAAATTTCTGTTATTGATCATCATCTTCTTCTTCTTCTTCACTCCTCATCTATATAAAATGGCTTCTCCACTCTCACAAACCACTCAGCCTCGGAAGAGAAAGGGAAACAGAGAGAGCTATGGCTGGTGGTAGTGATTTGTTGCCACTCTTGGCTATGGTGGTTGTCCAATTCCTGTATGCAGGCTTGAATATTACATCAAAGTTAGCCATGGAGTTTGGGATGAATCCAATGGTTCTAGTTGCTTACAGGCAGATGTTTGGTACCATAGCCATAGCTCCTTGTGCTTATTGGTTTGAGAGGTATGTCTACTTTTTTACATCTCATTTTACTTCATAACTTGAGTTATTAAGAGTGTATATATATACTATTAACAAACAAATGACTGCAGAAAAGGGAGACCCAAGATTACAAAACCTATCCTGTTTCAGATTCTACTGTGTTCCTTAACTGGGTAAGCAAAACCACTGCTAAGCTTTGTAAAACACTAAATATAAGAAGATTCTACTCTATAAACCTATAAACATGACATGCAGGGCAACAGGAAATCAAGTGTTTTACTATGTTGGGTTAAAATATTCATCCCCCACCATCGCATGTGCATTGACCAATGTCCTGCCTGCTGCCACTTTTCTCCTCGCTCTTCTTTTCAGGTATCTAAAGTTTCCTTCTCTTTTCACTCCCCATTTTAAAATCATTGCCACCCATTTCTGCACTGATTTTCAATACAATTAATCTTGTTTGGTAGACAAGAATCTGTGGGGATCAAGACAACCCCAGGTGCAGCCAAGGTGATTGGGACTGTTGTGTGCGTCGGAGGGGCAATGTTGCTGTCGTTCTACCATGGACAAACCATTGACCTGGGTGAATCTGGGATTCATTGGAAGTATGCCGAGATGATGAGGGGGGAAAGTTCCAGCAGCCAAGGCGGCAGCGCCATCTGGGGCTCTCTCTACTTGATCATAAGCTCTGTTGCTTGGGCGGCTTGGTTTGTAATCCAAGTCAGTGTGTTTTTCAACTTTGCTTCTTTAACAACTTTGCTTCTTTCTTTTTTGCTGAGCCAAATCTAAGACACTACTGTTAATTCCTGCAGGCAAGGGTTAACTCTCAGTTTCCAGCTCCCTACACGAGCACGGCTATCATGACTTTCATGGCAAGCATTCAATGCGGAGCAATCGCCGTTGGCATTGAGCACAACACAGCTGCAGCTTGGTCATTGAAAAGTCCAATCCGCCTTGTTGGTGCTCTCTATGCGGTATCATTGTTCCTTCTCCAACTAACCTTCTCCTGAACAGAATTGAGAATCTCTGACCATCAACAATCTGATGAAGAAATCTCAATTACTGATTCCTTTTCTTTTCACAATACAAAGGATTCGCAGATGTTGTCCATTTCAAACTAAACACACATCAATTTGCTACTACAACCTACACAAAAAGCTTAATTAATACTAATGACCATAATAATCTTCTCCTCTCTAACTAAGTTTTACATTTTCAGGGAGTAGCGTGCTCAGGGGTTGCATTTTGCCTAACCTCCTGGAGTATCCAAAAGAAAGGTCCTCTCTATGCCTCAGTTTTCAGCCCCTTCTTGCTCATTATCGTGGCTATTTTCAGCTGGGCCTTCTTTCAAGAGAAGTTATACGTAGGAACGTGAGTATCTAGAAGTTCCGATCCACAAGTTTATATTGTATATTGAACTTGGGTTCAAATGCCAACAAAAAACATGGTTGTCTCAGTGTTGTAGGGTCATTGTTGATTGTTGTTGGGCTATATGCTGTCCTATGGGGAAAGACCAAAGAGGTGAAACTACAACAGGTTAATGAAATGGCGGCAGTAGCAGAGGCAAAGCTGGATGAGTGTAATACCAAAGATGACTTGGAAGAACAGTCGTATGTGGTTTCAAATGGAAATATTCTCCATAGGTAATAGATGAGAGAAAGGAGTAAGAAAGGTAATACAGATCAAAATCCATTCACTTTCAACAGAAGACAGAGTCAAGAAAGAAAATGTTCAAAGGAAGGCATAGCATCTCCAGCGGTTGTATCCCTTTTATGAAATGAAATTTGACGTTGTTTAAGTCTCAATATTCACTACTTTACATTCTAGAGCAAAATGATGATACGAAAAAGTCATTGTAGCTTATGAAATTACAACAACAACTGTTATTATTGCATGTTCATGATGATAATCCTTAAGTAATGAAAATACCAGAAGGCAGCAGCAGAAATGGAATCAGTGATTTAAGTATGAGGAGAATGGAATCATGTTTAGAATCAGTGATTAGTCAAGCTCACCAGGTTTAAAAAACTTGAGACGGCGGGGTAATTCCGATTCCGATTCCGATTCCAGGAGGCGTGACATTGTAAATGATAATTTAAAAAACTTGATTATAGGGACTTACCAGCACCAATGGATCCGAGAAGAAGGCAGGGCGATCAACCAGCGTTGAGGATGAGGGGGTTGGAACCCTCCATGGATGACGATGGTGGAGGATTGAAATTGGGGGCACACAAATGGAGTTTTTTAAAAACCTCTATCCAAGAGGAAACAAATGGAATTCAGAAATTTGGTAGGTGGGTGGACATAGAACGGGAATCTTTTAAAAAAAAAATGTTAAAAAACTTGTTTGGCCCATGCAGGTTTCGAACCTGCGACCTTCGCGTTATTAGCACGACGCTCTAACCAACTGAGCTAATAGGCCGCTTGTGTTAACTTTGTCTGTTTTTAATTAATAATATAGAAGCAAAGAATGGATCGAAGACGGAGAAATGGGAATGAGACATATTTCTTTTTTATTATTATAACATTTATTTACTTTATTAAAATGAACTCCCATCTTGCGTGTTTGTCCTTCCATTGAATAATTTGTAGTCATATTGCATATAATATTCGTAAATCCTAATAATAATATTTTTAGAATAAAACACCAAACTTTATTTATATATTATAGATTACTTTTAATAAGATCCCGTATATCAACTATATATATTATTCAAGATGACACTAACACAATGAAGTTTTTAGGTAACGAATAGTGTTAAATCCAAATAGTTAACAATAATATATTATTAAAGAGCAAAACCTTAATCACAATATTTCGAAAGGTCTTTCATGGCTAATGTCACCTACCTATCTAAAAAAAGACGAAAATTGTATTGATTTGTCTCTCCGTAGGTTAATTATTACCATTGTTTATAATATTTAAAGCCACGTCATGATTCATTACATATTTCTTAAAATTAAAGTCAATTTGATTGTATCTTAGATATTATATTATACAAATAATAATAATAATAATAAATAAAATAAAATAGATTTGATTTTGGTAATTATCTCCAATTTTTCCTTTAATAACTAAATTATTGTACTCGCCAAATATACAAGTTTTATAAAAAAAAATTCATCTTATGAACTAAATTCCCAAATCAATGAGGGGGCAATATTTCAAATTTGGTTAATTATGGGGATATTTTTCTAAATTTACCATCTTTAGGGTCATTTTTTAAAATTGCCAATCTTTAGAGTTATTTTTGTAAACTTGATTTATTAGGAGGCTTGTCATTGTAAATTGAATTTCAGTTAAATTCCTAATTTACCCTTTGAGGGCTATTTTTCAAAATACCCATTTTAGGGCTATCGTTCAAAATACCCATTTTAGGACTACTTTTCCAAATTTGCTCATAGCATAGAATTGAACTTAAACTTTTCCTAAAACCCTTCGTAATTCATTTACATAGCTTTTATATAGAGTAGGTGTTATGCTTTAAAAGGCTAACATGGAAGAGAATGATATGTATCAAATAAAAAATTACCGTAATGCCTTGATTTGAGATTTTTAAGATGCATGTTGTGTTAAATGTTTCTACTATGTTAGGAAAGAGGATGAGATGTTGTGATCTGTGCGGTTGGTGATTTGGTGCTTAATAGGGTTATTTCCCTATCAAAGCATGCATGAATGTGCTAAGTTAATAATAAGACACTAAAGTTGTTAGGATGGGATGCGATGAAAGTAAAAACATCTATTTAATCTCCGAGGCGAGGATTCTCCATTTAGACGAGGAATGGAGGAATGAGTGAACTTCGGTGAGACTTTTAGTCCAATTGTCAAAGCATCAACCATATGATATGAATCATCGTCACCACACAAACCGTTGCATTTGCCAACTACACCTAAGCAATGTCTTTGTGAATAGCAAGCTAGGCAAAACCTTATGGCTTCCTTGACAGAGCACATTCTGACCGTGTAAATGAGCATAAGTGAATGGTGGTAGATGGAGAAAGGAGAGTAATCAAGGCATGGCTTTCTCAATCTCAATAGCAAGCTAGACAAAACTCGATGGCTTCATTGACAAAGCTCATTCTGACCATGTAGACTACAAAAAGGGCTAATGAGTGCAAGTGAATGGTCGTAGATGGAAGAAGGAGAGGAATGGAGGTGCGGCTTTCTCAAGAGTAAGCTAGAAAAAACAGGGGCTCACCGAGCCTTGAGAATTAGCACCACCACGGTCACCACCACCCAGCGTCGCTGTAAGATTTAAATTTGATTCTCAGATAGCTCACTTCTGTGAGGTCTTTCCTGCACATACTGAATTATCCCAAGGCTTGAAGCATAAAAGTAGAATAGAATTTGACATTGTGAAGCTGAAATGTGACAAAAGACAAGCATCAAGGTATAGATACTTTATAAATTTCAAGAATATTATTAAACTCATTATGTCTAAAGCATCATGCGATTCTGGACAATCAATTATGACAGGAACTTGCACTGCCTCATCTGAAAACAATGGCAGCTTTAGCACAGACTTCACATACATTAATTTTTAAATAAAATTGAAACAAAAATATATACATACATGGGGCCCTTTCTGATCTGAGGGTGTGGGAACAAAGAAAAGATGTGAAGAGCAGGAAGATGGAAGTGTATTTTCATACAAGTGTACAAGAGAGAAAGTAGATACATCATCATCATCATCATCATCATCTGCACATGGAGATAAAAGGTTGATACATACTTGGCACACATGTTTTTTCCAATAATAAGACTGTGTAGCCAGGTCAGTCAGTCCCGTCAAGGGCAACCGGACCAAGAAATCCGCTGCCAACTTCACCTTAACTACATCTAAATCCTAATACAGATTAACAAACTTGAACCCAAATTCAATACACATGAAACATTAGATAGAGTTGTTACCCATTCATTAAGAGCATATCTAGATCTGCTCTTTTCAAAACAAGGGTAGTGGGTAATACAGAGATATACTGATAGCAAACAGGAGGAATAGCACAGATTGGACTGGGACACCCGTAGCTTTCTTTGTCGAGACAACACCACTGGTGAAACGGTTACGTTTCTAATCGAATTCACGACCCAAGAAATGAGCATTGTTTTCGTGCATGTTCTGGTATCAATTTCACCAATATCTCAACAGGCACACCTTTCAATTCTAGTAAAACGAAGCAGCACCAGCAGCAACATTAAAGGAAGAAGATTAATTAGCAGTCCTACTAGAACAATAGTTTCAGATGAAAACTAATTGCACTTATATTTTTTTTTTTACAAAAAATTTCTGACTATACCATGAGCTTTGAAGTTGAATAGTGGTGGAAGGAAGCGTCCATTAGGCAGTCGGGTGTTTGGATCACGAAGCTCATCAAAAAATTGATGAGTCAAGGCATCCAACTGTATCATGGGCCAAAAGGAATTAATTAAGTCTAACAGTATAATTCGGAAACTCTTATTATTACCAAGTGCAGATATATAAGAATATGAGAGCAGGTAGTGTCTTGCACATAAAGACGACAATAGTTTCAACTATGCTATCCCATAGGGCTAAAAGTCAAAAGATCGATGATATCGGATTGAATTTCAGAGGTCCTTTTTAGGTGGCAGTATTTACATAGTTCGACAAGACAACCACCCAAGTAAGGATCCTTTTATAGCCACCTATTCCTTCTTATATTTGATCAACCAACATCCACAACCAAACCTAAAACTGATACAAGGAACAATGCTACAGAAGAGTGTCTTCTCCAATCAACGATAATAGCATTTACAAATACAACAAAAGTAAGCCAGTAACTGATAAGCCACAAATGATCAAGTAAACTTCTTAAACAGGCCAAGGTTAGGAACCATCAATATATGATCAAAAAATAGTTTGAAAAAAAAAAAAAGTTAAAGATGACAGAAGATGACGAGGAAAAAAAACTTACTGTCATCAGAATTTTAAAGTAGATCAAGATAATACCAGAATCAGTGTATCTAACTTTCATTTCATCTGAACAGCCCATCAAATATGAAATATAGACGCTAGGCATTAGCATGGCAAGTCTGCAGTAAGACCAGGTACTTACCGCTGTGCACCTTAGATTAGGAGAGTATTGCAATAGTCTTGACACAAGATCAACAGCTTCCGGTGGCATTCGTTTGTGAAATATCTGCATGATAAATTAATGCCTAAATACATAGTTCAGAAAGAGTAATAAATAACATACATACAACATTTTCAAATACAATTACCTTGTGCCATGGATGAGCTTTAATTTGAGGGAATTTATACTCTGTATAGTTGGGATTCATGCATTTAATTTCTTCCCTGGTAGGAGTGCCCAAAACCTACAAAAACAAGTTCTATTACATACAAAAAAGTACAAAAAAGCTTAAAACAAACTTAAGAATAAAGTAAGAACTGCAGGAGGAAAATGGTAAACATCCTCAGGCCCACAAGTCACAATATTAAAAGAGCAGTTTTGTGTCATCCAAGAAAAAACCCAAGATAAAACCAGCCAATACAAATCAATGGCTCAAGAGTTAAACATATAACATTAAAAACGCAAGACAGTATATTTACTTTTTTCTTTTAAGAAAGAAAAGAAAAATGTGATAAGAAGATGAGGTTCATAAAATTCTAAAAGATTGATTTTACTTTATAATAATAAGTCATGAAAATCTTGACGAGTCTCCGGATTTTCTAGACTAAATCATATTGAAAAAAGAGCTTAAAACTGAATATGATTGACAAGTGTTAGGAGCATGAGTTGCAATATTTACTCAGAAATTTGAAATGTCAAAACTACCTTAATGATTTCCACAAGCTGATCAACTCCACTCTCTCCAGGAAAAAGAGGCTGATACAAAATAAATGGAAAAAAAAAAAAAAAAGCTTTAGTTTCCATAAAATCTCATACGAAGAAACATTCAAAATATCAAACGCACACAACCAACTACCTGACCAAGCAACAGCTCAGCAAGAACACAACCTGCAGACCATATATCAATTGCGGTAGTATACTCTGTTGCTCCAAAAATAAGCTCAGGAGCTCTGTAGTATCTTGAACAGATGTAGGATATATTTGGTTCCCCTTTTACCTGTTTAACACAGAATACAGTTGTATCTGGTCAGTCAGACAACAATCGGCCAACTGATCTTTTATTTCAAGAAAAAGAAGAAATCACACACCAAGACTTTTGCACTCCCAAAATCACATAGTTTAACCTGGTGGGTATGCGGGTTCACCTGCATAAATTGATAGAACGAAGAAACAAATTACATGTAGATATCAAGAGAAACTAATGAGGACCAGAATTCTTGTTTTTTTTCAGCTTACCAAAAGATTTTGAGGTTTAATATCCCGGTGGCACACCCCAATACAACGATGGATATATGACAATGCTCTAAAGATCTGCGAGAATACCATTTAGA